GTTGCATTTGGAAATGGATTTTATTGTGAATATATAAACAGTTTTTAATAGAAATATTAATATTTCATAAAATAAATTTTTAAATTTTTAATTCAATTCTCAATTTACTAGGATCCTCATTCTCATTCTAGACTTGTACTTAATAAAAAAAAACTTTAAAAATAAAAAGTTAATTGCAGATATATATGATTTATGAAAAACCAGTTGCTAGTTATGATATTTTTTCTCAAGGTGTTATTTCAATGCCACGTTCTTCTTCTTTTGCCCTTTTAACACTTCCATTATGAGAGGAACAATCCTTTTTTTCTAAATTCAAACAAGGCCAAGGATAAGAAAGAAAATGTTATAAATAAAAGTCTTCGCTAACTTAGATCCATGTTATTATTATTGATGCACCAAAGAAGAGATAAATTCATGAAGTTGCAAGGATCATTAACAAAAGACATGTTTATTTTATCCCATAATTGGAGGGAAGATCAAGTCAAACCAACTTGTGTTCAAGTGAGAAATTTCGCAAAAGACTTGTTGGGAGAAATCTAAATAAAAGAGATTAAGATAACTAAATTAAACTTGCAAGAAGAGGCTTTTAGCGCAAGTAAATTAATTACACATTCAATATATACTGGTTGGTTGGCTAGATTTGCTAAAAATGTTCTGTATCCTCTTGATTTATGAGATGAACATAGATAGGTTTGGCTTGAGTCGCTTGACTTGCTAGTCAATAGCAAGTGGATTCAAATTAGAGCTAATTTCTTGACAGTGTTTAGAAAATAGGCCACTATTGGGCCATAGCTTATGCACATAAGGGATATATATATCATTGGACCATTTTTCATGGTAGAATGTAGAAAAAAAAAGAGTGAGATACATCAACTAAAATTCTTAAGTCCCGACTAATGAGGATTTTGTAGAACACTGCCTCTTTAGAGTAAGATAAGGTAAGAAATGTACATCTTAGGCCATGAATAAGTCCTCTTCAAGTCTCCCATGCAAAGTAGATATATCATATCTTCTTTGATGTAGAAGCCTTTAACTAGCTCAAGTCAATTAATTTAACATTCAATATATACTAGTTGCAAGCTAGATTGGCCAAAAATGTTCTGTATCCTTCTGATTTTTGAGACATATGTAGATTAGTTTGGCTTGACTTGCTAGTCAATAGCAAGTGGATTCAAATTAGAGATAATTTCTTGGTAGTGTTTAGAAAATAGGCCACTAATGGGCCATAACTTATGTACATAAGGGATATATATATCATTGGACCATTTTGCACGGTAGAGTGTAGAAAAAAAGAGAGTGAGATACATCAACTAAAATTCTTAAATCGTGACTAATGAGGATTTTGCATAATATTGCCTCTTTAGAGTAATATAAGCCAAGAAATGTACATCTTAGGCCATGAATAAGTCTTCTTCAAGTCTCCCACGTGGAGTAGATATATCACATCTTCTTTGATGTAGAAGCCTTTAGCTAAAGTCAATTAGTTTCGCAATCAATATACACTAGCTGCAAGCTAGATTGGCCAAAAATCTTTTTTATCCTCCTGGTTTCTGAGATGTATGTAGATAGGTTTGGCTTGAATCACTTGACCTGCTAGTCAATAGCAAGTGGATTCAAATTAGAGCTAATTTCTTGGCAATGTTTAGAAAAAGGCCACTAATGGGCCATAGCTTATGTACATAAGGGATATATATATCATTGGACCATTTTGCATGGTAGAATGTAGAAACAAAGAGAGTGAGATACATCAACTAAAATTCTTAAATCGTGACTAGTGAGGATTTTGCATAACGCTGCCTCTTTAAAGTAAGATAAGCTAAGAAATGTACATCTTAGGTTATGAATAAGTCTTCTTCAAGTCTCCCATGTGGAGTAGATATATCACATCTTCTTTGATGTAGAAGCCTTTAGTTGAAGTCAATTAATTTCACAATCAATATACACTAGCTACAAGCTAGATTGGCCAAAATTGTTCTTTATCATTTTGATTTCTGAGAAGTATGTAGATAGGTTTGGCTTGAATCGCTTGACTTGCTAGTCAATAGCAAGTGGATTCAAATTAGATTTAATTTCTTGGCAGTGTACAGAGAATAGGGTACTAATGGGCGATAGCTTATGTACATAAGGGATAAATATATATAAGTGATATATATAAATATATATATATATAAAGGATATATATATAAGGGATATATATATATATCAGTGGACCATTTTTCA